GAGCTGAAAGGTAAGGAGAGTCAAAAAGGGAGGGGAGAGTAGAGAGGGCAGAGTGGCGCGAGCTTGTTGATATGGTTCTGGAAGAACTTGACAATCAGTCACAGAAAAATAAAGAGAGATAGAGATGGACTGGTTCAGATTGAATGTGATCTATAATGACAGTGACAGGATAATTGTAGAGTGGACACACAGAAATAGGTTTCTCTGTAAGAGGTAGAAAATTAGCCTGAAAATAACAGAAATATTCTGAGAGTTCCAGGTAAGATTTGAGATCAGTAAATCAGTTTGAACATATAATTAGACATATTTTGAGAATGCTATACACTAAGTAATTGTTCTGTGACTTAAAGGTTCTGGATTGGGCACTAAATGCCAATCAGCCACCTCACCCCACCGACAACTAACTATATGTTGCCACTGAGTGAGCCCCTAACAGCACTTTAACACACTAGTCCTGTGTATGACGCAAGATAATGAACATGTATTCCAGCAGGATTGACCTTTCATACTGTTGTCCAAGTAAATACCTGGTTGTCACCATTTATACAAGCCCCAGGTCTGTACCTTTTGTAAAGTAAACGTCTACGTGCTAAACCATGAAATTATACTGGACCTTGCATAAACCTGTGTGTTAAACGAAGCTGTTTTAATTCATCTTAAGTGCTTGCTGCAGTGTTTATGTTGAAGATGGCTACCAGAGGGCAGTGACCTGGTGTTAGTGTAGGATTTCTTTCCTAACATTGCTCACATTAAGAAAGGTTAATGCAGCAGCTGACATTGATCCTGTTCAACTATCTTTGCGACTGAGTAGAGCGGAATTTATAGCAAAGAGGACTCCCGACTCCCAATATCTACTTAGGGTTACAATCAACCCATAGTGAATATACAATATACGGGGACATTTACTGCTTAAACTTTCTTTTCATTTAGACAGCTTTATAAATAAATAAAAAATCTAATTTAAAATTGTGTTGCATCAAATAATTGCAACATTAAAATTCAGGTTTGAGTCTTGGCAGCATTTTTTTTAAAGGTGTCAAGCCAAAGAAACTTCTCTTAAAAATATAAAGGGTGTGTATCTGTGCCACATAACAAAAGCCATCTATATCAAAATTAATCTAGGGCGAACTGTTTGTGAAGATTAGATAAAAGACCTCCTTAGTAAATGAGCTAAGGAGCACATTTCCCAATTTGTTTTGACTACTCAAGCAGCAACACAAACTTTTCCACTACAGTTAACAAAAAAATGTACCATAGGTGCCCTTCAGCTTCAGCCCCGCTGCACCTGATAACTGGCTAAAAGTGGATGACTTTGGTTATTCTTGGTTGCTTCCAGGGGTGAATGTGTCTACATTTGTGAATGCAATGATAAGACGAAAAAGAGAAAAAAAAGCTGTCCCTTGATAAACAAGACTGAAAACAGTGGAGCAGAGGTTGGGGTGCTATTCACATTCCATTATACACTGAAGTACAAGGATGTGACAGATGATATAGGAACACTCCACCACGCTGAGAAGTACACTTTGATGTCTAACTGAGAGTTAGATGAGAAGATAGTCCATCTCTGGGAGATCAGTCTGGGAAACAAGTGTTGGAGTGTTCTCTTAAACGGTCGGTTCACAAAAAGGAACACAAACAAAAATATCCAGAGCAACTGGGACATTGATTCTGATTCTTGTTATTTGTTAGTGCTTTGAGCACCTCAAATGAAATTCAATCCCCCCCCCCCCCCCCTCTATTGGGGGTGGAGCCAAAAATCTGAGAGGGATACCCTCAAAGCTGGCCGAATAAATTAAAACTGCAAGGCTAGATTCCTATAAAGGTAAGCAAGAAATTAACCTTTTCTTTAATTTGGGTGAACAACCCTTTAAGCGGGATCCTGCCATGCCCATAGCACATCCCTCCTCATACACATGGAACAATCAGGGAAACCCCTCTGCTTCCCAGACACTGACTGCAGAAGTACATACTACATGGACTACATACAAAACACGCTGCTGTCCTCCTGTTGCTCTGCTTCAACTCTCTGTGATTTACAGAGCTTCCTCATTGACAGATAGCTTTCCTTGGTGCTAAAGTAACCCCAAACTGCTGCTAACTGTATCTGCCGGTAGTTAGTTAGCTGAGTTTGCCTGGAAGCTAGTGGTGCTATTAATAGCTGACTCCCGGACTGGGAGCTAAGAGCACCACGTGAGTGTTTACACTGCTAGCACATGAGCTTTGGACTCCCGGAAGGAGGTTTAAGCTAATAAAGTTTTATTTAAGCTTTAAAGCTAACAGGACCACGAGCAGCATGGATAACTCAGCTATCCAGCCAACAGAATATGTGTGTGTCAGTGTGAACGGATGTACTTGGCGTCCACTTGTGATCAGATCACCCAGATTGCATGTTGATGCCGAATGTGAACAGGAGATAACGTCATAAGGACTCTCCAGAGCCTCTTCGGGAGCACGCCTGTTTGGACAAGAGTCTCAGGCAGAATGAACTAGAGAGGGAGCATTAATCAGTCATATGACTGAGAATGTAAGGTCTGCCATTCCCCTTGCAGGTAGCCTGCAATGCCTTCATAAAAGGGCTCATGGAAAAAAAGAGGCTTCAGGCTTACAATACCTTTCCTTCATGTATGCTAGTGAGAATGGAGGATGAAGTAACAAACACATTTGGTTAAAGTATGAAATTTGAACTCTGTATCTGTCGCTTGCCAGTATGGCCCCTGTATCTATGCCTGTGGTTGCTCCAGCAGACGCAGTAAAAAAGGATGTTAATGAACTGCTGTCACACGTAGGCTGGTGCCTTTGAGGCAGCAGTCAGGATTCTCTCCACGTACTCAGTCTGTTTGCAGTGTGGAGGCTGTGATGTGCTGCCTGACTGCAGAGAGTCGCTTGCGGCCAGACAGGAGGGGACCAACTCAGTACAGGGGGTCCCTGCTGCGGTCCCACTCACTCACCAGCAGAGAAAAGGCTCGATTCTGTGTGCGAGTGTGTATACGTGTGTTTCTAACCCTGAGATGCATGCTGGCTTGTGTGCAGGTGCATTTGTAGGCAAGAAACATGTGTGAACACATGCACATATACAGACTCTGGAAGCACTGCTGTGCCCTTTAAATTGTTACTCATTTCAGTAACAAAACGGAGAAGGCTAACAAGGGAAAACCAACCACAAAAATGTGTGTGTGTGTGTGTGTGTGTGTGTGTGTGTGTGTGATTGCGTGGATGTGTTTGTGTTTGTGAGAGGGACAGAGCCAGTCTGCCCGCTGCTCTCCCCTGCAATCTGCCACTGCTGCACCCTGGGTAGTGTCAGAATGGTTTGGGTACCCGCTGTGCCACCTGTCACCCCCAGCCCCGAGGCTCACTGCCAGTCCAGCCACCCGACACCGAGGCCCAGCCTCAATTAGATTGCTATCACACAATCAGGATTGGCTCTTTTTCCCAACAGGAGATTTCTCTCTTTCAGCTGACATTGTTATCTTTTACCTCTCCACAAAAACTCTGTGGCCATCTCCAAGTATGACACAGGCCTTGCACTAAATTATTTAAGTTTTAAATACAAAGCTACAGCTTGGACATATGTAGGGGTGGGAAATCTCCTTGTCAGTGCAGTTGCTAATGACGTTATCACAAGAACTCAGCAAATAGGGTACCCCTTGAAGGGGAATTCAGGGACTCTCTTGTAAGCATGACATCTGGCTCCACCAAACATCTGAGTAAGCAGATTGGCCCTGCAGGCCTGGTGTGACAGCCGACGAGGAAGCTGGGAGATGTGGGAGAACTGATCTGCAGAGCTCCGCTGCTCAAGCTGTCACTTTAGCTTGGCTTGGCACAGTTAGATTCTCCCTGGCTCTGAAGCATTAGGCCCACTCTTCTGACTGCCGCTGCCCTGCCGGCACCGAGCCAAGTCTTTCATGGGGGAGGTCGATCATCACTCTCACTCTTTCTTTCTTCCTCTCCTTCTCCTGCTTAGTCTTTCTCAGCAGGGCTCTGGCTTCTCTATCGCAATCTTTCTCTTTTTGTCCTCCCCTGCCTCTTTCTTATCCTATCCCCACCAGAAGCCACGAAATGGGATCCATTATAATCTGCCATTATTTGCTATTCCCAGTTCCTGTGCAGTACTCTAAGCTTCTCATATGCTCTCTCCTTGCCATCTTTGTTCTTTTCTAAGTAGGCGTTCAGTCATTCAGTAGTCACTCCACCCAACAGGTTCCACTTTGACATGCACTTTAACATCCTTAGAATAACAAGGTAACCTGCTACGGATTGCATATCTGTTCAGCGGAACAAAACTGCAACTGCTGCTGTTTTGTGTTCCGGCTGATAAAGTAAAACATTACTAGTGGTGGTCATTTTTTGCAGTAAGTAATCCACTTGGAAGCCATACAAATACAAACTAAAGTGTATAGGTTATTGACTTACTTATCACATTTTACTCGTGTATTCACTTTTATAAAATCTCATACAAAAGCTAAAAAAGGTTTTACATTTGGGAACCATACAACCATGAGATTAATTATAGCACTGTAGTAGTAGAAGCGTACTACTTTGCCAAATGATGAATATTTGTTTTTTTTACTACTGACACTGTAAACATAAAATACTATGGATCTCAGTTGAGCAATTCAGAAAAGCTACGCACCACTATGGTCCAATGTTAGGTAAAGGATGAAGTTAAAAGTGTCTTAATTAAATCCTGCAAAAGTAACATTTTGTCATTATTCCATCCAATCACTCAAGGAAATGAATTATTTGAGTCAGGTAATTACCCACTCAGAACAGAATAAACTGTTCTCGCCTCTAGTTTGCAAAAGGTCAGGCTGTCCTTTAGGCCCAGTCATCTAAGTGCATATATATACTTCTTAAATCCGTTCCCAGCATAGGAAAACCCTCTGTGTTTATTTTGCTTGGTGATTCTGTGCTGATGCTGCAGTGGTCATTTATGTTCTCGTACCCAAAACATATACAGTATATTTTAGTTGGAGCACATCTGTATGTGAGGTATTACTCACTTGTCTGGCCTGCCAGGCACCTGCAGGCGTAAGCGACATTTGTTAGCACTCTGGATCTGCTCTTCTTTGATGCGAATAAGCCTCTGCAGAGCCAGACACCAGTCCTGGGCCACAGTTGTGTTCAGGTTCTTTGGTGGAAAAACACACACAGTTACAACTTGTTTCTCAGTCATAGCATACAGTAGATCATCTATAAATGCATACTGACCACAGGGTTATACTGTAGATCTACTTATATATTGATATTCTTACACACAATCAACCACACATCCACTCACATAAAACTGCAGTACATGATTTGAAGTCAGGTTGTGGCATTTTTATCCACTCAAATGTATGTTGAATTCATTTCAACACCAGCTTCCATTTTACAGTAAAAGCTACTCCCTCAAGTCAAATAGAATCAAATCAATTTTCTGAAGTCAATGAGCTGTGCAGAAGTATTTCGTCTATTTGTTCGGTGGACAATATTATAACTGGGTGGAAAGTGAAAATCAGTCATTTAGTGCCAGGCCAATATCACTCCTCCTGAGGACATTGTGCTCATTAAGTGCAGCAAGGCAAAGGTGCCACCATTAGCCTGAGAGCCTCTTTGGTGATTGCTGGAGTATACCTCCCTGACTGTGTTACATAGTGTATGGTACTGTTAATGTGTTAGTGGCAGACTACTGGGAAGCGTCCTGATTTGAACGCTACAGGGAGCTGACGTTTTCTTTGCAACATAGCAAATCTGACAATTCTATCTAGTATATCAGAGGGAACATCTCATTCCCACCATTGTGGCACAGTTGATGAGGAAATAGATGGAAGACTTCGTGCTTTTAGAAATTGATGATTCAATAGGATATGAGGCTGCTCTTTGATCACATTTTAAACATCTAGAATTATCTTGCAATGTCTTTGAGAAGAATATCAGAAAGAGATTTCGCCACACAATTATCCCTGTACCATCCAAACTTGATTTCTCTAGTTTCCACTGAATCAAGTAATTTCAATTAACTGCATACTACACATTTGTCTTTGCTGCCTCTGTGATTCAGAGTGATATAAGTGTTTTCAAGGCTTAGGAGCTATTGTAAGGTAATCTGCAGTTTATATAATATATTGCATATTTCACACATTTTACATACATATACTGTACCAGTCAACATCTTGAGATAACTGGCTTAAAAATATTTTTGATTTTTGATACTCAAAGAAACTGAGGGAGAAAATACCACGCTTGAAGGTTGGCCAATTTGAACCATGGCTTTTAAAGAAAACCCTGAGAGTGGTGTGGTAAATGTAACAAACTGGGATTTCAGTGGTTTGGCCTGTAGAGTCAGTTCCTGCTTTATATATGTTGCATGATACAGATTTTCCCTGTAAGACAGTCAAGCCATACTAAATGTGTAACACTGAAGCGACACATACTTGGTACATCCCCTGTAGCGTGCCCACAAGGAGAGTGACCTCTTCCACAACAGAAAGGTCATGCTGCAGTTCCTGCAGCTCATGGTAGAGCCGTGGAGGACCCAGGATCGCTTTACCTATGAGATGGGCAACACAGAAAGCATTTGTGATATAGCAAATTATTGCACATTCCAATGCCAAAGAACAAGAAGTACACTTAGTCTAAAATAAAAAAAAGGAAAATGGCCATCACAATTTTACAAAGGTCAAGGTGATTCCTTCAAATTGCTTTATTTGTTTGACAGTCCAAAACCCAGAGACCTTAAATACACACTGACTGTGTAACTGTTTGACTTTTTTCCATGACAAATGACTTGCTAAACAAATTATTGTCAATCAATTGTCTGTCAATGAACTAATCACTTAAAGGATACAATCTCAACGATATATACAATAAACATATATGACATTTGGACCAACTATTCGGATAAAGAAATGCAACATACGTGAAATTTCAAGGTTACAGGGTTCCACATAGTAAGAGAAAAGAACGACATTGCCTCTGAGAACTAGTGGAAGTGCTGAAAGAAAAGTTGCTTTTGCTGAAACTCCAGTGGCACTAATAAAAGGGGTTCGATGTGTAGATGGATCGATCTTCATTATTTGTTGAACTACATAGAGTGAAGTTATGAGTAAAAACAATCAGATAGAGAAACTGTTATTTGGAGCTATGATGCCCTTTTGCTGGCCAAAAGGAATGCAGGTGTCTCATTAGACGCAAAATTCTGCATCGATTTGAGGCCCGCTACCTTCAAAGTCTCTCTCTCCTACTGCTGCGAATCGATAGTTGTGTCTCCTCCTGTCTGCCATCCTCCGTCCTAGCTCCCCTGGCCCACATCTTCCTAGCAGCAGGCTCTATGAGAACTGCCTAATTAAATTCTGCAGGTAGATTTCGCTCTAGAGCTGTCCTGCACTGTCACCGCTGCCACATAAAAAAGTAGCAGAAGAGCTGAGGCGGTAGGCGGGCTTAGTGAGGCATGCTCCTCCGAGGGATCCTGCCGCCTTTTGTCTATTCACGTGCATAAATGGAGAGAGAGTAAAGCCGTAAGAGGGAAGAGAGAGGGTGGGCTGGGATTGTTCATTTAAAGAGCACCATTGTAGCTTTGGGGGTTTAATGGTGTCTTTGTCACAGGCAGCCAGTGACATCTGTCATCTGTGCAAGGAAATCAATAGGTGAGACATCTGAATATAAAAGGGTGTGCTGCAAGCTGCAAGAACAGTATCTTCCTGTCCTCTCCAAAGGGACTGCCCGGACCCTGTACAGGTTTGTTGAGTCCTCTGGGGCCTGCTGTTGGCTACAGCCCGAAAGGTGAATGTGCTGAGTTGTAATCCAGCGTAATCCCGTTGGTGAGGCAGGATATGGTTTTCACACTCTGACATGGCTATCCACACCGGCCGCCAGGCACGCAGCTCATCGGTGTGGAAGGCCAGAGCCCAGAGGGGTCCATCCCTGCTTTCTCTGGAATAAGTCCGCAATCTAGCACTCAGCTGCTGTGCCAGTGATGCTCGCCAGTGGATTCAAAGACAATGCAGCTTCCACACCTGCATCAAAACCCTTGTCTGATCCGCAGCCAAAGCCCACTGGTAAACTACTGACAAAGAAACTGCACTCCTGACAGCAGGTCAAAAGAGAAGCGTCAATAAGGGAGGTGTAATGGGGGCAGAACGCAGGTAAGACACCATGAGAGTAAACAACTGGAACACTTCCTTCAGAAAAAGAGCACATACATTGGTGGGCTTTCCGTGTGTTGATAGAAACAGACAGGGAGAGAGATAGCCCGGCAGAGACAAAGACAGAGACAAAGGGGGGAAGAGTAAGAAACACAGGCCTGCATTTCCCTAAAGGCCAGCTTTCTTCAATAAAGAAGGGCACCAGGGTCTGCAGAACATGAAAAATGAGTCCATTTTGAACCCTGCTGAGGGAGCACAGGATTTCGACTAGACACCCCACTGAATGACATCACAGGGGATGAAACTATAAATAGATGGGACAGCCTGTCTGAATGAAAATTTGGGGATCAGCCCCACAGATGTTCAGGGAGGTTTCTGGATAGACGTGATTAAGGTGACCGCACCGTGTCGAAAAGGTGAAAAAAAAGAGACGAGACAAGTCAGAGTCAGAATACAGCATCCTCTGTGGGGCATAACATTTGCAGAGTTAGGCGCTGGTAAAGAAAGAGAGAAAGCTGCATTGAAAGCTAACCTTAAATGATCCCAAAACCATGCAGCAAAGTTGTGAGTATACGAGTATACACAACCTGAACAAAAGTGAAACCCTAATCCAGTGAGAATCCCAGCCAACTCTCAAAACAGTAGCTGCTTGCTGAGCATGACACGGGTAGCTCTGAAGAAGGCACCATTAATATTTAAGTCGTGGAGCTGCAACTTTAAAAAGCCTGTACCATTACATCCTGATAAGGCTTTGTATCTCCCTTTTCCCATGGCACATTTATCAGGGATCTCGTCAAGCTCTGTATACACCAGAGTTTAGTGAGGGGTGGTGGGAGAACCAGTGTTTCAACTACAGATTCCTATCTACTGCTACTGGCTCTCTAATTGGGCCTAGAAAGGGGGGGAATAATCTCTGCAGATTGATGACTCCACTCTAGATGTGTTTGTGGTCTATCAGAGAGTGAAATGAGACTGTGGGGATGCTGCGGCAGGGGGCTCTCTACCCCCACATCTCTCTCCAAGATAAAACACCCTAGGCAGATGGGAACAAGTGACCGTCATCACTATCCTCCTCACAAACACATCCTCAATCAGTGTGACAAGCAGCACGGATGCATCTCCAGCCCTCCGCGGGACACTTGAGAACAGAAACAGATTAGCCTTGCTGAGTCAGAGTAAGAGGCTGAGACTAAAAGTCAGTCCAAGTGATGAGATTAACTAGAGGATGACACATGGGGAAAGAAATGAGATAGGAATGGTTCACATTTCTTTTGTTTTGTTACCTGAAGTGCAGGCACCACTTGGCCGCTTGGCCCCGCTCTGTTGGAAGAAGGTGTCTTTGCTTTGAGAGCCCTCCTGCCCCACCTCCACTACTTGCACCTGCTGTAAGGGGGCGCTCCACTTCATGGTGTACTTGGGGCCAACCGGGACCAGGCTGCTGATATCCGGAGGCCCCCTGGTGGAGATAAGAAGAAAAAATATCAGATGAGGGAATTTAGACGGAAAACAACCTGAGAGAAATTCCCTCCCTTTCCGCATCCTGCTAACAGCACCTTTGAAATGTCACGAGGAAGACTTGGGAGTGGGAATTAAAATCTGTATGATCACTCATGTTCCCCGCCAAAACTGTACCCCTGGCTGTGAGGAGGAGTTCATTGCTATTCATGTATTCCTGTAATCACGCAGACAATCAACATTGTGATCGGTTTGTCAAGATCCTGGAGGGCAGACAAAGTCAACTTTGGGACACTCGAGTTGAATGAGACGTAGAGTGATAATTACTTTGAAGGCTGAAAAAGAAGGCTTTAAGCGACATCTTTGACAGGAGCTTTGCAAAATATACAAAATCCCTTTCGTTAACTTCGACAGAGAGAGAGCGAGAGAGAG